AAGCCGGTGGCATTGCATCTGGATCCCAGTGAGGTCCACGCCCTCCTGCCTCTTGCTTCTAAAGGGCAGCTTCTTCCTCCGCCGGCGGAGCACGTAGGCAAAGAGGCCCGCAGCCACGAAGACGGCGGAGAAAAACAGGACCAGCAGGCTGAGGATCAACACGGACAGAGGCACCGGGCCCCCCGGGGGAGAGAACTCATAGGGAGATGCACTCGTCGGCCCCCCCGGAAGGTGGGGCTCCCCAGGCTGGGCCGGGGAGGCTCCGGCCGGTGCCGTGTGCATCATCTCGGGACAGAGCACTTCCAGCTCAATGGTGCGCACGTCCCGGTGGGTGAGGTTCTCGGGGCTCCTGCACAGCACGTCCCCCACCACACTGACGGAGCTGATGGTTTCGATCCACTGCTTGAAGGGGACCAGGTCACAGGTGCAGTCCCAAGGGTTCTCATTGAGGTCTATCTGGACGATGGCGTTCAAGTGTTCGAGAACACCAGCCACGGGAAGGTAGAGGAAGTAGTTTTTCCTCAAGTTGAGCCGCGCCAGGGATGTGCCCGCAAAGGCATCCGTGGGCAGAGTCCTCAACAAGTTATTGTTGAGGAAGAGCAGCTTCAAGTTGGGCATGAGGCTGAAGGCTGCAGGCTGGATCTCCCGGATGACGTTGAACTCGAAGTACAAGTAGTGCAAACTCTGTAGGCCTCGGAACATGCCCGGTGTCAGTTTCTCGATATCGTTGCCATTGAGAAAGAGGCTCTTTAGGTTGGGCAGGTTGATGAAGGCCCCATCCTGGACGTAAGAAATACGATTGTTCCCCAGATGCAAGAGATCCAATGAAGAGAAATTCCAAAAATCGGAACGGTATATTTTCTGAATCAGATTGCTACTCAGGTAGAGTTTCTTGGCATTCAGCGGCCTTGGAAGAAGTTCCGAAATGTTATTAAATCCTCGCTCTTTGCAGTTGACAGTCAAGCCAAGGTCATTGATGTGCAAATTACAGGTACACCCAGTAGGGCAGATGATAGGAATGGGTGGTCTGGTCTGGTAAGGAGCAATGGGAGGTTGGTTTGGACCCGGATAGAAAGCTTGGGAGGTGGAGGGCGGCCTTGGTGTCCGGGGCTGTTTGGTGGGCTTGGGCTGCTTATTTGAGGACTTGTATTCAACGGAAGAAGCGGTGAAATGGACAGAGGACAGCATGGAGGAAGGCTTCGTTGGCCACGCGTGCTCCTTGTTTGATGACAAGTGGGGGATCCCCAGACTGGCCTCCACCTCAGAGTCGGACAACAAGGGACAGAGTTCTGTCTTCCGGATTTCTCGCAGGTCCTTCCCGTGGAAGTGGAAGGGGGTCTCACAGGTGATGTCTCCCACCAGGGCAGTGTAAGGGATGCGCTCCAGCCAGCTCTTCAGCTGCACGATCTCACACGTACAGTTCCAGGGATTTTCCTCCAGCTGGAGCTCCATCAGGCTCCTGCCGACGTGGTCGAGCATCCCTCGATAGAAAAGGACCTTCAGCCTGTTCCCCCGGAGGTCCAGATGCGTTAGGGAGACGGCCTTGAATAAATTGGTGGGAAGCATGGGGATGAGATTATCATTTAAAATCAGAACTCTCAGCTTGCTGAGGTTCCGAAATGCACCGCTCTCGATGCGTTTGATGACGTTGTAATCTGCTTGCAGATACTCGAGACTCTCCAAGCCAAGAAAAGTGTCATTTCTGAAGACGTCTAGTTTGTTCTCGTGTAGATACAGCCTCTTTAAAATCTTAAGGCCGTTGAAGGCTCCTGTTTGAATGTCCTGCAAGGCATTGTTTCCAAGGTTAATGGACACAGCGTTATTCAAATGCAGAAAACTGTTGGTGTACAATTTCCTCATGGAATTCCTCTGCAGATATAGTTTAAAAGGTCTGGACCAGAACTCGGTAATCTGGCTAATATTTGTAAATCCTTTACTGTCACAATGTATGTGAAAGAGGCTCTCTTTGACTTCACAGTAGCATGGGTCAAAACAGGGCTCATCTATCTCCTCTGAGTCCTCGATCAGGGGGATCGGGGTAGTCCAGCCCAGAGCGATTGTGCTTAGAAGAATAATCCACAGCATCTTCCCTCTGTGCAGCAGCTCGGCTATGGAAGGTTTCATCATTCGTGGTGGGTTACAGAACTGCAACAGAAATAAAGAGGCAGATTTTTAGCTGTTAGTCATACGCAGGGTTCTAATTGACTCCTACATCGGGGCTTTTTAGTAAGAGTGAAGTAAAAACCTCCGCAGTTGTGGAACTGACACTCAAAGGGACCTAGCAACATGCCCACTTTGGCCTATATTTTAAACTTAGGAAACAGAAATATTGTATCATGTGATGATGTAACCCAGCCATACTTGGTAAGGGGCGTGTCACACAAAAGAAGCCTTCGTTGTCACTGATAGCAAGTAAGGGGACTGGTGAGTGATGCATTTAAATATAGGCAGATTCAGTAATAATGGCAATATTTTGGCCATTACACCTGCTTGCCTGTTAAAATTCACATTGGCCTCAGAGGTGCCCGTTATAGATCTGATTGGAACTCGTATGGGGGAAAATGTTCCTTAAATTATCGTTTTCTACTCATGAAAAGACATGTTATTGAGGAGCATGAGAATGTATGAGCTCATTGCCCCATCTGATTGGAACTCTGATGGGAAAAAAAATGTTCTTTAAATTATAGGTTTCTTCTCATGAAAATACATGACGAAAATAAAAGTTATTAGATTGAAGAGTATGATAAAGTATGACCTCATTGCCCAACTATCCGATGTTGGGAAGTATAAAATGACTGATATCTCAGGAAAACGTCAGATTTCTCCTAAGAAATGATCACATCCTGCTGGTCGTGTCTGCTCAGTAACACACTGTACCTCCCCTCCCTCTGCCCAAACACAGATTATTGGTGTGTCCTCTAATTGAATAGTTTCTATATACGTGCATCATTTGGCTAAACCTTTCAGCAGTGATTATCCTTTCTAAAGAACAAGTCCACGCACTTGTCAGAGCTAAAGAGAATGACAGTGAAAGGGAGCTGGACCTGGGAGTGTCTGTATTAACAGCGCATCTGTGCCTTCATGATCAACTCAAGAACCCTGTCAAAAGCTGAAACCGGAACGGCAGGTGGCTGTTTAGGGTAGTTAAAGGCAAGAAAGGGGGGAACCTTGACACACACCTGCTGATAAATGATCTATCACATGAGATACATTTCAAGGAAACATATCATTCTTTTGCAATCCGAAGAAGCAAATACTGTGCTAATAATAAATACAGAGCATCCCCCATGGCTTTTTCCCCCTTGCCTAATGTCATCAGTATATGAAAATGCATACATACAGAAATTATAATAATGCAGCTTTATTACATTGCCCTTTAGGAGTCACTGAACTGTCCATCGAAATTGAGGGGTTGTTTTTAATCAATAAAAAATAAACTGGAGTTTTTCGCATATAATTTCCTCTCCACACTGGGATACATGCATTCAGGAAATATTCAGCCAACCCTCGAACTTAAAGCATCATGTTTTAATTTATAAGGGGAGTGAAAAGAATAAACCTTCGCGGTCAACTTGCACAGACTGTACACAGCTGTGAGGAGAGGAGAGCCAGTGAGAAGGCAAAGAGGAATCTGCCTCAGGCGTTCAATACTCAATTTTTAGAAACAATTAAATGAAAAAGAGGGGGGCGGAGGGAGAAGGCAGATGAGACTACATTGCAGTATCAGTTAGTCTCCCTTATAAAATATTAAAATCTACTTAAGTTCTTTCTTCACCATTGTTTTTTTTTTACTTTAAATGTTTTATTTTATTTTTGAGGTCCCTGAGAATTAGGTAAACAAGACTCCATATGTCTTTGATTTATCT